GAGTACAGTATGAACTGAAGGAACCAGATATGTAAACATGTCCAGCTGCTGCAATATTTTTCTTTCTGACTAGGTGTTATTTTATGGTGTCTATATGATCTCAAATCCTCAACTATTCTTCTAGCACCTGCAGGCAAATTGCCTAGTGTCTCATTGGTTAACTTTTTAATTACAAGATGACCCTTTTCAAATGTTTGATCTATAGTTATAAAGGTATGGTTGATTTATTTTGAAATGGTTTTCTGGGGATGGGAGACAGAAGGGGCTTCTACTTGATTTTCCAACCCAAAGATGGCACTTCCCAGGTGTTCCACATCCTGACTATTTCCCACTTCCCTTCCCCAGTGCTTGAGTCTGGACTATGGGGTTGCAATTGAGTGCCCATTCAGTGTAGTTTCGTGACTATTTCCTGCAGTCGGATGCCTATATGAATAATAGGGGTTTAGAGGGATATGAACCTGGGCAAGGTTGGGATGTCACAGGGCAGTTGGACTGAAGGGTCTAATTCTGTGCTGCATGGCTTTTTTTTGTTTGATTCTGGCATTTGGTTATAGTTCTGTACACAACTAAGTTTGCATATTGTGTGAGTGTAATGAGTCTGAAGGATAAACCACTCCATTCAGCTCAACATGGTTACTAGTGTTCATGCTTCTAACGTTGGTGTTTTCAGACCCTATTTTTGTGGATGTCAATTTAAGTCCTTGTGGCTTGTTTTAATGCTGCTCTCCACTTTTTGAGCCTTGTTGCTATTGAGTAAGGGTCATGGGGTACTATGACTGAGCTCTATGCCAATGCCACTGTGGATGGGGAGTGAGGATTACAAAGTCTGGAATCTGCACCAGGCCAGGTTACAATGTGGGCACACGATTTATCCTTGCCCAACTAACTGGTCCTGGAATATCAGATTGCTATGCACATAGTATAGAACATCTGAAAAACTCTTACAAGGCAGAAAGAAGCCACATACCACTGACCCTCAGCATCCCACCTGGAGCCCAAAATTTTAGCATGGCTAATCCACCTAACCCGCACATGTTACAACTCTGAGAGGAAACCAGAGAACCTGGAGGAAACCCATGCAGACACAATGTGCAAACTCCACGCAGTATCCTAATTTAGTGGAATCAAACCTGGGTCCCTGGCACTGAGGAGCAGAGCTAACCATGGAGTCAATGTTTTGGTAATGTATCATGGTGTTACTTTGAAATTGCTTACAGGACTGTGTTTTCAGGCTTTGAAGAGATGGCAACCTCACTACTTTTTGAGCCCAAACATTTTTCTGTGGCATTGCTCCCCCACAATTAGCTATCCTACCATCATAGGGGGGTGGGGGAGAAACTAGGTAATGCTTTTCCAACCTGAACAGCCATTGTTTGTTTTAGCAGAATATTAACTTTCATGACTCATGATCAAGTTCTCCCACACTCACCTGTTTGTTACACACAGTCGTCATTACCAGGAACCAAGGTTTTTAAAACAAACAGACTGATATATCTGATTTTGTCACCCTTTTTCTTTTGTTTGACTTGGCTTTCCAAATATTTAACATGCAGAGACAAATGGGCTAACTGACCTTTTTTTGATCTGTTTGGGGGAAAGGGGTAGGGTGATGAAGTCAAACAGAATTACTTTTCTTCTGAGTGAATCAAAAAGGATATAGTGATATTGTAAAAATCCAGTAGGCTGGACAATAACAAAACTATGGGTGTCCTTCAAAAAGATTGGTTGACTAAAAAAGGACAGTCCATCTTTTCCTCCTCCCAATGAAGATGCAAGAAAGGGCACTTTGAAACTAGAGCTGCTTGGGTAATGTAAATGTAACAATCCATTCTGTTCTGCTGTACAGGCTTTCTGATCCAGGAGCTCAATGGCCAGTCTGCATCCACTTGGCCTCTTGACTGCCAAGTGGAGGTGACTGCACAGGCAAACCTGTATGTTGGGAGCATGGTGATCATCAGGCACTTCATTTAATTCTGACTCCTGCTTACAGTAGACAGTTATACCCCTTTCCTAAAGAATTTGAGCACAGTGTGACAATGGCTTCCAGTAATTTGGTGACTAAAGTTGTAGAACAGCCCCTCTTGACCTTCAATGTGTGAATAGCACCAATAAATTAGACAGCTCTCCTCCAATTTTTACTTCATAGTTTGCTGTCTTTAAACCTGGAATTTCAGCTGAGAAGGAGCATTCCAGATTTTCTGAAGTGTTGGAGACATGAACTCTGGGCTCCAGATTCTAATCAGATGAAAAGAACTGTTTCCTTATGCCATGCTGATCCCAACATTCTTAAATGGATTTTAAACATCATATTTTCAGTGAATTCTTTAATAGTAATTGTCAGGGAGTTGTCAGCAAAGACAGGACACTTTTTAAAAAAAAAAAAGATTTTCAATGAGGCCTACAATTTAGAGGGAGACTCTCTCCAGTTGTAATTGTTCTACACAACTTCCACTATTTTGAAGATGTAGGCCTTTTAGTATGCATTATAACCCTCTGAGCAAAGTAACAACATTACAGGAAACCTAAAGTTATCCATGAGTACTCCGAGATGTTTCCCAGTTTTTTGTTTTTGTTCAGTATTTTTCCTTATCTCTGCTGTGAATCGGTGTCCTTTTGGGTTATGAGCTGTGGCCATTGCTGGCTAGACCAACATTAGTGGCTCTCCTGTTTGCCCTAAACAATGGCTCGCTGCTTTGATTCACTGGATTCTGTGCTGTTGGGAGTTTTTGTCTGTCTTGAAAAAGACCAGCAACTTTAACATCTTGAGCATTGCTTAACTTGTTTGGCTCCTGCCTGTCAACTTTGCATGTTCATCCAGTTGCAGAGTGTAGAATGTTAGTGTACGTGTTTTAACAAAGTGTGGGTTAATGTTTGTCGTAAACTTCAGCCACATAGCTGGGGGTTGTGGGTGCATGTTAACATCTAGATTGTTGATGACATAGGAGTGAACTTTTTGATGGGTTGCCTGACACTTCCACATCTGGGAAGGAACAATAGAGCGCCAAGAATTTTTCCCCACCTTTTGGAGGTTAAAGTTGCAGAGTGTTTGAGTTTTGAGATTCAACCTTAATTTATATAGCACCTTTTTTTAAGAAAAAGTGCTAAAACATCTTGCACCATCTTACAATTTTACACCTCCCTGTGAGGGGAAATCACAACAGATGAACCATCTCTAAATTTTGAGGTCAGGAGTCCCTAATCAGAGGTACCTCAAACCAGTGTAAATGTTAATGTATCTGAAACAAAAACTAGATTTCCCCCACTTGGGTATTCTTACTCATTGCAAAAGCAATGAAACAGTAATTCTATGGACTTTTCATCTTTTAGCTGTGGTGACATCACCCATGCTAAATTTTAAACATGATCATTGGGGACATCTCCAATGTCAGATGTCATGAGGCCAATGTGGAGCTATTGAGAGAAATCTACTGTTTGTGGCTGTTTTTATTCCAAGCTAGATCATTTAAACGTGAGGGTTGCTTGTGCTCACTTTGTCTGGTGGCATGCACAACCACCCACTCTGATGAATTGAGCACAAAAATGAAGCAGAGGCCCTCTTCCTAACCTGTAAACATCAGGCAAAAACTGGAATCCTCGAGTTGAGGGCTTCAACTTCATCTTGAAATCACAGGCTTTGTCTGTGTTTGCAAGCGTTACAAAATAGTTTTGCTGAGATGATGAGTACTGCCCCTGTGCATACCTACAGGATGGGTCTGGGTGGGATGATATTGGGAGGGTCATTGTGGACTCCATGGGCTGAATGGCCTGCTTCCTGTCCTGTAGGGATTCCATGATTCTATAGATACTCAGTCAATGATATACTTGGATCATGCCATCTCAAAAGGCATATCTTCCATGGACAGATGGGTTTTTGTACATGCTGTTGTTTTTCCCTCCTTCAACTACTTCTGTAACTTCAAGTCCTGTGCATAAGACCTCTGTTTTGTGTCACTTCCACTGTATATTGTGATGGTTCTAAAAGGGTCCATGTAAGAAACTACATTAAGCACCAAGCAGTCTTTTGCAGGCCACTAGGATTTCTGGCTTGATTGAATTAAATAGAAGCAATTTTATGAATTGAATCCAAGGTAACACTAATGCATAACAATCTCCATCACTTGTTGAATATGGACTGATTGCTGACTCCTCTTCCCACTGCCCACATCTTGATGCCAGCTTTGCACTGGTCAAGACCACATGTACCTGCAAGACCACACAAACACCTCTTGGTACTGCAATGACTGCACTTCATCAGTCACTTAGCTTTCTAGAACATCCTCAGGTTTCTGAAAGTTGCTGTCCAAATACTAGAGATAACAAGGTGTAGAGCTGGACGAACACAGCAGGCCAAGCAGAATCAGAGGAGCAGGAAGGCTGACGTTTCGGGCCTAGTCTAGCCTGAAACATCAGGCTTCCTGCTGTGTTCATCCAGCTCTACACCTTGTTATCTCAGATTCTCCAGCATCTGCAGTTCCTACTATCTCCAAATACTATTGGCTTTCTATTGATGTAAATGTTTTTTTACGAAACTGTTTGTTTGTTTTTGTTCAAAATTTGGCTTATCTTTCTGATGTTCCTTTTTTAGTGAGGTTCAAGCATGAATGGGTGTAATTTTTAAGGTCGGGGCACTAGGTTCCGAGGGAGATTTGTTGGGTGGGGAATGTTTTCACTCGGTGTCTGAATCTGAAATGTGCTGACTGGGAAGGTAGTGGAGGTTGGAAACCTTACAATCCGTTTTTAGGAAAAAAAAAAATTGAGTACTTCAAATGTCCCATATCTTTGAATGGGACAAGTGTGGGAAATTGGGATTAGTGCTCTTTTGGTGATAGTTATATTTGGTGCAGACTCTGGACCAAAGGACTTTTTTGCATGAATCTGAATAAAGTCACATGTTGGAAATAAAGTTGTCAAACTGCTCCAAATGAGTGGATACAGTTCATAAGCTGAGCATTACTCAACTCTTCCAAAGTTCAGATTATCTCAAACTGTATTTTTTTTAGGTGATATATCTCTAATGGAGTCGAAAGGTCCTTATGCACCACCCCCTAACTATACTGATGCTATGCAACCACCAAGCTACCAAGCAGCTGCTGACAATCTACCTTATCCTGCTGGATCTCCCATGGGAGGTCCTGGGGTGCCAACTGCTCCATATCCACCCCAGCCTGCAGCTGCTCCTATTGGTAAGTCTGTTACCCCCTTCCTTTCCACCCCCCCCCCCCCACCAAAAAAAAACACTAATGAATCCTTAACTGGTTACACACATTAGATGCTTGTGAAATGGGGAATTTGAGTACGTGTCCACTTGCATGAAGGTGGACAGCTTCCATGTTGTAGCCTGCAGAATGTGCTAATACTTGAAGTAATGAAGCTAGTTCGTGCCAAAAGAATAGACTAACTTGATGTGTTCTCATGGTCAAACTTGCTCTTGATCTACAGTAGTAATCTGGATTTATTGGCATTTTTCTATCTGCATAGTGTCTACTGACTTTTCAAGAAAGGGTTAAGTCTTGAGCCTGCACTTTAACCCATCCTGGATGCTGTTTGGTTTTATCTCCAAGCTTACTGTTGGCTGTTTTTATGCTCATCTGCCTTTTGTTTACAATGCTTGAACACTTAATCTACTTTGTTCAGTTGTGCAGGCTGGGTTTGACCTGTTGCCAGTATCTCTCCAGTTCTAGTGATGTGGCTCCAATATGTTGCAGACCACAAATTCTTCAAGGGAGGCATATTTCAACAGAATACTATAGAAATATTAATTATTTGATCTTTGGTCTATTTTAAATTCACTAAATATCATCTGAATGGAGGATGCATTTCATATGCTGCTTTTCTTCCTTCCCTTTAGTGGTGCAGACTGTTTATGTACAGCCCAGGCAACTTGGTTTCCAGCCAACGCAGACTACCTGTGCATCCTGTAACCAGTTAGTGTTAACCCGTGTTGTCTACTCACCAGGTGCACTAACATGGCTAAGTTGTGGAGGTCTCTTCCTTGTTGGGTAGGTCGTCAAAGTAACTATTTTCTTCCCTAAAATCTTGTGTAAAATTCACTTTTAAAATACAGCAGCCATGCACATCTGCCTGCTTCATCTAACCTCTTGGTTTAATGGACTTTTATTTTGCATGAATACAAAGCTGTTTCTGTGGATGCTGATAGGAGCTGGCAAACACTGGTGGGTGCAGAAAATGGGCTATTTGTTTTTTGATTGGGCCCACTTGCAGAATTGATAATGGAGTGCTGATCATGGAGAAGTGAATACTTCAGCCCATGAACATGACCAAGCAAGAAATTGTTACTGTAAATATGTCCTACTACAGGAAGGTGTCAAAGAAATCATCAGAACAGTGAATAGCTACAACCATGAGCCTGTTTTCTTTAAAGAAAACTTGAACACTGCTGAATCTGATCAAGTCACCAAACATGTCTGACAGTCCCAAGGGGCAATAATACCAGACATATGGCAGGCCTCCTGAAGTTTTTGAGAAAAACATTCTAAAAATTTCCCTCTTGAGGGGGGTGAGGAACTAAGATTCTGCTCCTAGCCTTGTGCGGGAAGATGCAAAGGTGGCACTGCTGCCTCGCAGCACCATGGACCGGGGTTTGATTCCAGTCTTGGGTGACCTTGCAAGCTCCATGCAGACATATTCTCCATGGGTTTCCTGCAGGTGTTCTGACTTCCTCCCACAGTCCAAGAATGTGCAGGTTAGATGGATTGGCTGTGCTACATTGTTCTGTAGTACGCAGACTAGATGGATTAGGCATGGGAAATGCAGGATTATGGGGATAGGGTGGGGTGGGGGGAGGTGTGCTGTGCCTGGGTGTCATGCTCTTGGGAGGTTTGGTTATAGACTCACTGGGCCACATGGTTTCCCTGCACTGTAGAGATTCTGATTCAGCAAGTGGAGTTGTAGTTAGAGGTTTGTGTTAAGTCCAAAATTGGAGTCTACCTTCCAGAATGAAGGTAGATAATTTCCTGACTAAATGATGGTGATTTGGTGATGTCGGGAGTTTCAGAAGAGACCCCCCAATATGGAAGGAGGCTTTTGAGGGTAATGTGCATCCAGAAAGGGTCTGGCATTAAAAAGCCTCTGATCACAGTAACTGATCATTGGCTGAGGAGGAAGTGAAGTGTACTTGATGTTTTGGAGTATGGGGTTCAAAAATGGATGCAATAGGGCTAGAACAACTAGCATAAATGGCTGGAATCACTGCAATCTAATTAGTGCAAAAGCATACTCTGGATTGTAGAAAACTGAATTTGTAGCAATAAGGGTCTATGGGAAGCTCATGAGAAAAATTCACTTTAGTGTACAGTAAAATGCTACTTTTGGCTTAATTCTAGCTCCATTCTACACATTCATACACATTCTAGCTCCAAGTCTACAACTAAACCACATTGTTCTGTGATGCCCTTCATTAGACTACCTTTTTTTTACTCCCACAATTGTTTTGCTGTCATCTCCTTTTTTTTTGAGGCATTGTCTAATTCACCAGTCTGTCTTGAAACAGCATTGTCCTAGATGTGCTCTAATTGTCTGACCTCTCTCTCTTATTATAGGTGTTGGCTTGGCTGCTGTCTGATCCCATTTTGCATTGATGGCCTTAAGGATGTGGAACACTTCTGTCCAAACTGTGGAGCAAACATTGGTGCCTGCAGACGCCTTTAAATTTCATTCGGGTTTTGCTTTGCTCTGGATGTAATGTTGGCATTTTACACCTGGACTGCTCTTCACACAGTATCTGTTCAATTGCTCAGACTTCACTGAGATTCAACAGGCACTGAATCTGGAAGGAAATATTTCCTAATGCAGAAGACTGTCTACAGCCTGCCTCTAATCCCATAATTGCATCTGCTAATAACCTGTGGTTCTGAGTCATGAGCAGCAATTTTAATGACTGAGAGAATGTTTTAAGTATTCAGGTATTTTGTCACTTAGTTTAAATATCCCTTTTTAATGGGTTTTGGCAACTAGCATTATCTTTAAGCAGGTCTCCAAGTAAAAGGATTTGGATTATTAGGTAAAACTTGTGCCATTTGGTAGTTTTGTTGATTACAATTCTTTTAATAAAATAGTAACATTAAAATTAAAAGAAATCAAGGCCTGGATTAAAGATAGCAGCATATATCACATCACATGCCTAAACTGGTGGTCTGACATTTCTCTGGGTGCTTGGTCTATTTGGCTCTACTGTAGTTACTTGATTAACTTGATTTTGGTACATGTTTGCACAAATCACCATTATTAACACTGCCAAGACTGTTGGAAACACTTGGATTGCATTATGGATTCTAGAGTACTGAAATGTGTCACTTCAAAAGAAATCCTTAGCTATTTTTAACCTTTAGCATTGTAAACCACAATCCCTTCCCCAGATATGAAAATTGTTAAACTTTGGAAGTTCACGGCGGGGGGGGGGCGGAAAATGTACTAACAAGAATTAAATGTGACTAACACCTTTTTTGGATTGGGGTGGACAAGTTCAGAAGTCTGACAAGACCAGATTATAGTCCAAGTTTATTTGAAATCAATGGCTGGTTGACTTCACCTGATGACAAAGGAGCAGTGCTCCGAAGCTTGAGATTGTTGGACTATAATTGGTCATGTGACTTCTGACCTTTTTCTGTTGTGAACACTGAACAAGTTGTTGCTAATTCCAATGATAACCCACTTTGCGTTTACCTGAAGAGAGCTTCTTTGTAAAGAGGCTAAACCAGGTCAGTGATCTGATCATGCAAATGACTTGACCCAACAGGTGTGTAATGATAGTCTCCAGACTTGCTGCAGTGGCAAGATGTTCATTTTATTGTGGAAATTTTAAATTTGTAGCAAATAAAATGACTTTCTATGCTACATAATCAGAACTTGTGTAGAAACAGGCTTGATTGTTAGCCTGCTGGTCAGATTTGCATTATTACATATGAAGAATAACTTGAAATGACAGTGTAGTTTAAGGAACTTTGAATAAAATGGGAGTTGTAGTCTAGAAAATGGCAAGAGAAGCTAACACCTCTTAAATGTGCCCTACTGGTTATGTTTCAGAAGTTCTCGTATTTAAAAGCATTTTTGTAAATGTTGTATCATAACTTGTCTGCAATCTTTGTTATCCTGACCTAGCAGATCTGCTTATTTTGACCTGTATCCACTACACACTGCCAAGCCTACTTTCATTTGAAAATGGACAGCCAATCCTAGATACAGTACAATGATCCTCTACTTTCCACTCAATTTAAACAACCTTATTTTAAAAGTATACAATCTGTGGAAAAGGTCCAATGCATGTGCAGCTAAGTATAGGAACTGTTTTGGGGGTTATGCATACAATACCTATTGCTTGTACTCATTACAGTCTTGCATTTATTTCCTTTTTATGCAAACTTTAAACAGCACACTATTAACTGCAACAGATCAGCATACTTGTAAAATGGCAGGCTTTTGCAAGCTTGGTGCCTGCAGACACTTAAACTAAGATGCAGCTTGGTTCTGTTAAACATAACTCTTGCTATTACACCTAGACTACTCTTCAGAGCTTTTAATTGCTAATGAGACTTTCACTCAAGACTCAATAGCCACTGAATCTGGAAGGAAATTTTAATGCACTAGACAGGCTGTAAACAGTCTCTAAATCCTCCTAATTGAATAACCATTGAATTTTAAAGTTCTGGTGTTGCCAATGCAATCTGTTTTAGGATTTTTGTTTGCAAGTTTTTTCCCAGACTTTAGTGCTGGACACCGATGGAAAAAAATCTCCAATACTGAAAAATTGGATCTTTATTTGAATATGACTTGTTCCAACCTGCCAGCTGTCTAGATTAGGCTTTGAACAAATCCAAGGTAAAATTTTTCTAATTGTAATACTGTAAATAAACCTTTGGCTTTTTGTACCTATTATCCCTATTTTGAGTGGGAAGCTTTTTCTGTCTGAAGTCTTAAAGATGTGTTTTGACAAAATGTCTTCTGCTCAATGAGTTTCTTCTTATAAATAAAAACAAAATCATCATCACCAGAGGTTCAAATTGTCTGTCTTCCACAACAAACTGGCACATTTTTACAAGATAATTAGACTGTTGCACTTATCACTGGCTGCAGCTGTGTAGAAGCTTGAATACCAGATATCTGTGCATCAGCTTTTTTTCCTGTACTGAATTCCAGTTGCTTTGTTTTGAAGCATGAGACTAAAATGGTGGTGGAGCCTGCATGCGCATGCGCATGCACAGTCTCAGCTCACTGAATCCATCTCCAACATTATCCAGCATTTGGTCTGTTCACTGACATTAGGAACACCGGAATTCCCTTAAAGCATGTTCTCAGTCAGTGAGATCATGGCTGATCTATGGCCCAACTCCACATACTTGCCTTTGACCCATATCACACTTGCTGTTCTCTTAAAGAAATTTTAAATCGGAACTGAATAATTTTAACAACTGATTTAGTGTCCACTAGTTTGACAAAGGTTCAAACCTCGAACATGCTTTTGTGGAAGTGCTTCCCAACATCCCTCTTGGACAGTCTGGCCCTAATTGTTCAGAGTATGCCCCCAGTTCTAGAGTTTCCAAACAATGGAAATAGAAGGTAACTGTTAAGCATCTTCTCAAGATATTAAGACCTCAATCAAGTCATTCCTCAACCACCTAAATTCTAGACAATATGTGTATAATCACTCCTCAAACTTGAACCCCTGCAGTTCTGGTATCATTCTTGCACACTCCAGGTGTGATGCCTAGATTTATTCAGTGCTCCAAGTGGGGTGTAACCAGGGGTTTTGTATAACTGCAACATAACCTGTATCCTTTGCTGTATTCAGTTGGAGATGTACGGCACAGAAACAGACCATTTTTTTTGGTCCAACTTGTCCATGCCAACCAGAGATTCTATATAAATCTAGTTCCATATGTCTCTAACCCTTCCTATTCATATACCCATCCACATGCCTTTTTAAATGTTGTGATTGTACTAGCCTCCACCACTGCCTCTAGCATCTCATTTTATATGCAACCCTCTGGAAGATTGCCCCTTAAGTCCCTTTTAAATCTTCCCCTCTCACCTTTTAAACCTATGCCCTCTAGTTTTGGATTTACCCCACAACAGGGGGGGAAAAACATCTTGCCTATTCATCCTATCTGTGCCTGTCATGATTTTATAAAACCTCAAGGTCAGCCTCTGCTCTAGGGAAAGTAGCCCTAGCCTATTCACCCTTTCCCTATAGCTCAAACCCTCCAACCCTGGCAACATCCTCTGTTTCTGCACCCTTTCAAATTTTGCATCATCCTTCCTCTAGCAATGAGACCAAAATTGCAGTCCTCCATGTAAAGGCCAACATTCCTTGCTTTTTTTTCCCCCCCTCTGCACCTGTTCATGGCATTTTAAGGATCTATGCATCTGAACCCCCTGAGTCTCTTTGGACAGCCACTCTATTTAACTTTGAGAAAGTACCCTGAACTATCCTTCATTCAAATGGATAACTTCATGTGCTGATGTAGAACTCCTCCCTACTGGAGTTTTGCCCATGCATAATTTTAAGGAAAGATGTATATTGATAGTATATCATCAATAATGCCATTTCACTGTTGCATCAGCAAATTTGGATGAGAATTTGTGCCAGTTAATTGTTAATGAATGGCACCCTAATACATCCTTGTGGGACATCACTTGTCACATCCTGCCAATTTGAATACCTACCCATTATCCCTACTTTGTCACCTGCCTCTCAGCCCTGTTAGTCTCTTACAGGACTCTGTCAAATGCCTTATGGAAGTTCTTCTTTTGAAATGAAAACGCATCTGTAGACATTGCCTTGTTCACTACATTAGTTACTACTTTCAAAAAATTCAATGGTTTGTCAGGCATTGACTTGCCCAACACTCGTATTTGATTTTTGACAGTTCACATTTCTTCCATACTTGTGTTTTCCAGCAGTCCCACCTTTATTTTGGACAGTCTCCTTGGGATGGTGGCAGTGGTAATGTCCCCACCTCTGTGCCAGAAGGTCTGGATCCATGTTCTAACTGCCCCCCAGATGTGTTTCTGGTTAATCAACCAGATTAACAGAATGTACCTTTTGTTTTGGAGCTATCCATCCTTATACTAGAGCACTCATTCATTTGGTTAGAAATGACTTTGCAACCAGATGGAGACCTGGTAAGATTGTTGCATGTCTCAAACCAGATTGAGAAATTGATATCTTAGAGAGATGTCAGATTTGGGATGAATAAAGCAGAGAATCAACTGTTGGTGGTAATTGCAAGTAGGTGTAGCCTGCTGTGTATTTGCTTGGTCCCTTGAGTGAGAAATGAAGGTGTTATAATCTGGTGTCCTGAGCCTTTCTAACTTTCCCTGACCATGCTGCACAGTAAGTAGATTTTGCTACCAGCAAGAGCATACCATCAACAAGAAGTGGCCAAGGGGATTGGTGATACAAACCTTTGCAATAACTTTTAGACTTCAATTTGGTTAAAGGCAGAAGTGCATCTTCCAAGATTCACTGGATGTAGCCTGGCCTGTGCATCAGAATGTCCATTATGTATTGGTAGTGCCAGTTTTTTTGTTTTTTTTTTTTTTTTTTGCTGAAGAGGTTATCATATGTACTCTGGAGCTACAGCAATGAATTTCAAAGGTGCACCTTTTTAAGTTTGATATTGAAATGAGCTGCTTTTAATTATGGTATGCCTGACTGGCTGAATCCAGCACAGAGTGGGGTGTGTGTGTGTGTGTGTGTGTGTGTGTGTGTGTGTGCGCGTACAAGCCCTGTGGCTTTGGATCATTTTACAACTAAAGGCTAATGTCTCGGCCATTGCCTCGAGTCAATTTACTGTCTTAAAAACCAAAAGTACCGTGGATGCTGGAAATCAAACTGCTGGAAAAGCTCAGCAGGTCTGGAGAGAAATCTGAATTAATGTTTCAGGTCCAGCAATCTTACCTCCGAACTAGTAGTTTGGAAAAGGGATTTTTTTTTTTTTTATAATGCAGAAGATAGGGAGGGTAGCTATTCCTACTCCTGGGCCAACTATTATCCCCTCCTTTGTCTGCCCAACTGTTCTTTTTGGGGTTTATACCCCACCTATTGGTCACTCCTTACCCCCTTCTTCCCACCCCCAATCTTCTGCATTAAAACTAATTATTTTTTTCCTAGCTACCACCAGTTCTGAGGAAGAGTCACTGGACCCAAAATGTTAACTCTGATTTCTCTCTACAGATGCTGCTACCAGACCTGAGCTTTTCCAGCAATTTCTGTTTTTGTTTCAATCTCCTATCCACCAGTCTGTTATGCCTCATGTCAGAGAGCCTTTTATTTCTCACTCTGCAGTAACTGTGGCCTACCCTTTCTCATTCTGACTTTCACTGTCTCCACACCCTTCACATTTTGCCGGGAATTTCAGTGCTCTTCTCTCTTCACTCCTGTTTCTTATCCATCTTTATTCACCAAAGAGTGAATTATTGAATTTGGATAGAATTTTGCGTGCTACATTCCATACCTTTTTTCTTAATAAGCCTCCAACTGGAAGATAGCTTAAAACACTAAGCTTGAAACAATGCCAGCCAAACATCTTGCAATTCTTCTCAAACAATCCTTTGTCATGTCCATATCTAATATTGATGCTCTTAAGATTTCATCCACTTTAGTTGGAGTGCAGTTTAATTCAATTTCCTTGAGAGAAATATTCCATCCCTGTTAAGTTTTTATAATTTATTATATTTTTGTGCTTGCAACTTTCATTCTCCAACTTTCAACTAATGTCCACTTGTGGCCAAAGAATTTTTTATTTATTTATTTATTTTTTTGGTGCTCCTAATTCAGAAATGGCTGTCTGTGTTGTTTTAGCATTTCTCCAGCATTCCTGATCGGAGATACAAAGGAAAATCTACCCTCCCATGATCTTTTACTATCAATCATTCCCTTCATCCTTGCTATTGTGATCTGACCTGGCCCTGATGGGCTTCTCTAGCACTTCGGGTCTATGAATACTTTTTCCTCTTGAGTTTTCCTATTATAATCTTGACCATAGAGTCACAGAGTTGTGCAGCATGGAAACAGACACTTTGGTGCAACTTGTCCTTGCCGGCCAGATTTCCCAAATTAATCTAGTCCCATTTCTCCGTATTTGGCCCATATCCCTCTAAACACTTCCTATTCATGTGCCTATCCAGTTGTCTTTTAAATGTTGAAATTGTACCAGCCTCCACCACTTCCTCTGGCAGCTTATTCCACAAATGCACTACCCTCTGTGTGAAAAAGTTACCCCTTAGGTCCCTTCTAAATCTTTCCCCCCTCATCATAAAACTATGCCCTTTAGTTTTGGACTCCCCTAGTCTAGGAAAAAGACCTTGGCTATTAACCCTATCCATGTCCCTCATGCTTTTATAAATCTCTCAAAGATCACCCCTCAACGCTCCAGGGAAAATAGCCCCAGCCAATTCAGCCTCTCCCTTTAGCTCAAACGCTCCAACCGTGGCAACATTCTTATAAATCTTTTCTGAACATGTTCAAGTTTATCAACATCTTTTCTATAGCAAGGAGACCAGAATTGAACACTGTATTCCATAAGTGGCCTAATCAATGTCCTTAGGGAAGGCAAGAAGATGGGTTTCTTGAGCCAGAATAGGGATTAAACTCTGTGCTGCTAAGCCACCACCCACATCCCAACAGACCAAGTTTCTGTGGTAACCACTTATTATCCATATCTATAACATGATGGAGGCTCTAATCATCACATCCCATGTCTGACCAGGAATCTGTAGCACTTGCTGCCTGTTATTTGTGCAAAACACTTATCAATTGAGGTTTCTGGGTCATATATTTCATTTGGCATGTGGGACGGATGTGCCTTTATGTCACACCCTCTAACAGGTTGCTAGCTTGTCCACAGGGCCTGTACGTTGAGGCATCACTCTGCAGTGAGAATGCCTGATTGACTGACCTGAAGATTTTCACGCGTCCTGATGCATTGAAAGGACTTACAGGCTGATATTCAACCTGCTTGACCATTTTATGAACACTCTTTCCAT